AAAGACTATCCAATAGAGTGACAATGATTTCTCCGCCAAACGCCATCTGACGGATATCGGTATTGCTTGTTCGGAGAGCTTATTACCTATGAACAGTAATCTGCTGTACGGAAGCGAGCAGCTTCAACGGCGTCGGTCGCCTCTGATGAACACAAATCTGTGGCCCAGGACCTGGAACGATGGGCGGATACGTCGAAGGTAAAACTGGACACACCATACTGACATGTACAATAGCATCTCTGTGTGTGGTACAGCCAGTTAGCCAATGCGAAGCCAATGGCTAACTGAAAATCGTGAGAAATGCTGACGTATCGGCCCAGGATACGCTGAAGAACTGAGGTACATAACAGATCGGGCACCACCTCGGGTAACTCAATGAAAGCGAAAACACACTGATATGAATCTTAAATGCGTGAGAATGAGGCCGGGTGCGCAAATGGTTCGCATCAAAAGCTTGTTTAATTAAGAAAAATGTAACGTAAAAAGAAAAAGAGAGCGAGTCGATAAGAAAAGAACCGAAGAAATCCTGTTACGTGGTGAGTGGAAGACAGAGAAAAGGAATAGAAAGCATCAATACGCACTACAAACTGGAACGCGAAGCAAACGGACAGGCCGATATTTTACCATGGAAAGTGTGGAATTGTTATTAAAAAGAGTTGAACAGAGTCAAGAAGAACAATAGCTTCAGTGTGATTAGGGCGGGGAAATGTGGCCCCTGCAACCCATAAGCCGAACAAGGAGGCATCCCACGCATCTGTGTAACCACGGTGTACACATGTGCACTAAGGCGATGTCAACAACCAGACATGTCGGATGCGGTGCGAATGAGGCTGACCAACCAACCAAATAGCAACAGCACACGCGAAAGTGGGAGAACCAACCACTGGACATAATAGGCAAACTGTAGGACGATGGGACCGTAGGCCATCAATCACACATGTCTGCGGCGCGAGTCATTCTAACCTCTGATAGTCACATGGCCCCATTTGGTCGAGTTTGGGGTGGTCAACATACCCCCAATTCAACAGGCGGATGAAATTCGTGCATTCAGCTAAACAGTGCAACTTCGCCCCATTGCAGACAGGCACAAAAAGTGGCAGACAATCTGCAAATGAGTCACAAGTGAGGGGATACAGTGTGATAATGCATATACCGACTAAGCATGGACACTTGAAATCCAGTGAGAAAATAACAGAGCAATGCTAAACACTGATAGCTCTATAAAGCCTGTTACACCCGGATGAGCGAGAAGAAATCTGCAGATTAGGCGCGGAACATGTGGTTGGGGACGTGTGGTTTAAGCGCCCAGCCGATACACACTTCCAGTTGAATGCTTACACTGTCACGTAGCAAAAAAGCAATTGGAGCACTTCATCATCAACAGCAGTACATCAGCCATTTGTACTGATGCTTCGCTGCCATACAACCATGACGACCAATGAAATAAAGAATAAAAGGGGGAGAAGGGGGACTTACCTGAAAACCTTGATGCTCGACGCAAACATTCAGGGTCAAGGCGCCTACACCTTATGTAGACAACATACCGTCACAAACAGCCGGCTATCGTACAAAGATAAGGCGGCATCGGCGAGACAGCTTCCTTGCGGCTTTCACTGCCACGCGTCATAATCAGCCTTTCCCTGCAAATAACTCAGCACCAAACACACTTTAAACAGACAATCCGATTAGGAGACGGCAGCAGACGCGTCACTGGTGTCGGTTGCAAGCCATGTCCAGTAAAGTCTCGAGCAAAGCACAAGGTGAGTTACGTGGACTTCAACCCGGAAGGCGAAACGGACCAACGGCACCCAGTTTGGTCGTCAGTGACTTCATTTCCCGTTGCCAAGTCAACTTCTGTCCACCTCGAGCCTTGCGCCACCCTACACCTGGTAGACTGAAGAAAGCCCTCCTAGGTAAGCGGTGACAAGGCAAACGTAGCACGCGTCCGAGCCAACGCAAGTTATTCAGTGACATCAGTTGTTCTAGGGAGCTAGCATGATCATCACCACCTAGTACTCGACTACGCACATCATCGTTGCGGACACGCTGGTGCTATCCGACTCCAGCAATGATTTGCAGACAACGATGATCAAAAACTTGAAGGCACCTCAGCTCTTCAGACCGAAGGGGCCAAGTCTCACTACCATACAGCAGAACGGCCTTCACTGTATACCCGGCCTTTCAGACGGAGGGAAACTCCCTTCTGTCGCCAAAGATGACGCAGGTTCAAGAAGGTAGCTCTGGCTTTTGCAATGCGTGAACTGAAGTCAGTTTCTATGCGTCCGTCATTGCTGACGCAGCTGACAAGATAAGTGAATTGATCAACCACCTCGAGTTCCTCGTTAGCAAGCGTCAAGGGGTCATCAAGTGGCTGGTGGTCCTGCAGCAACACTTTGCACTTTGAAGGTGCGAAGTGCATATCAAATAATGGGACCACTCTGGACAGGCTATTCAGAGTTGATTGCGCCGTCCCAACATCGTCGAAGAGCAACACGATATCGTCTGCATAATCTAGATCAACTAACCTTTCACTAGGCAGCACTTCAACGCCTACATCGTGAGATTCCGCAAGGGAACACTCAATGATAGAATCCATGACGAAATTGAACAAAAACGGGGAAATCGGACAACCCTGACGAACGCCACTTGTGGTCCGAAAGCTATCCGATAGGACACCGTAGACCCTGACGTGGCCTGTAGTGTTCGAGTATAGAGCACGAAGGATGTTCACATATTTCGTGGGAACACTTTTCTGCGCAAGTATTTCGAACAGAATCGATCGATCGACTGAATCGAACGCACTCTTGGAATCGAGGAACACAGCTATTGTCCGTCTGCGGTATGCGTGGCGCTGCTCTAGCACCTGCCGCAAAGTGAATACATGAATACATGGTCCTGGGCGGAAAGCAGCCTGCTCTGAATACTGAATACTGTATTTTGGAGCAAGTAGAAAATAATTCTGTACAACTCCATCCGGTGATAATCAAAAACATTTAAAAAAATAAATAAACACGTCCGGTGGTTATCCTGAGATGGTTCAGCAACTCCTTCTGTAGCACACAAAATGCTTGTTTACACAGTGAGTCACAAGTGGGTGATATCGTTGTCAAGTGGCAACCGTTCTCTGAAACGTATGTTAGCGAAGTGTAAATCCAACAAAGATTTGAATTTCTGCACAGATTCGGCCTTGACGACGTGTTCTGGCAGACTGTTCCAGGCGTGCACAACCCTCCGCTCGAAACACAGGGGGTGTGGGATTTTCTTCAGATCAGGTACCACGAGTTTGTACCTGTGCCCACGTGTGGTGCATGGTACTCGCAAGTGGAGTAACGACCTCAGCATGGGGAAATGACCGAGATGTAAAATACGGTAGGTCATGATAAGATCCACTCGAACACGGCGATACGACAAGGTGTAGAGCCCAAGTTTCATGCACCGGTTTTCATACGATATGCCTCTCAAGCTGGGGATCAACTTGGTGGCGACGTGTTGTATTCGTTCGATCTTTTGCGCTTCGCCGCGAGTGATCGGACAGTATGCAGGCGAGCCGTACTCTAGCATTGGTCTGACGATGGAAGAGAAGAGGCGAGTGGCGACGTCCTCAGACCAAGTGCAGAAGCTGCGCTTCAGCGCCCAGAGCATGCACAGTCCGTTTCGATACAGTTTATTGGTGTTGTCGACGGACTTCAAGTCGCAGCGTGAGAGTACACCTGTCTTTCACGGAAGGTGTGGGATGCAGTGGTTGGCCGTCTAGGGTGTACGTTCGGTCGTGAACAGCCTTCCCGAGATTCATGAATCCGAGATTACCGTTCCGCAGTGAGGCGACGGACGATAATTGAGGCCAATAATTTTGTCGCAATTGGCGTTAGGCTAATACCCCTATGGTTAGAACAGTCTGTGCGACTGCCCTTATTGTATATTGCCACTATAATCGATTCGTTCCAATTAGCCGGGACACTCTTCTTTCCAGATACATTCGAATAAGGAGGTCAGTGCTTTGCAGAGGACCTCACCTCCATCCTTAAATAGTGCAGGTGGGGGGGGGGGGGAATCCGGGCCAGCGGCACGAAAACGATTGAGCACGATTGGAGCAACTAGCGACACAATAAGAACGACCAAGGGGTGTTATTAGAGTGAGCGGCTTTCATCGATCGGTTCATGAAGGTAGATTAACTTGGAGGAGATTGGTGAAGCTGGCGGACAAATGGTACACCAGCCAATGTGCTCCAGGCCGGTTGCTCGACAGATTTCAGAGAAACGAAAGGACTTTTTAAATCTGATTAAGCTAGCAAGCCAGTCCAGTTACGAAACCGAATGTCGATTTTCTTTCTCCTCTCTCAATTAAGGTCTATTTTATATTATATCGAACAGAGAGAGTGAACCCACTGAGGCCTGATTAGCAGTGCTATAGTGGTCCAAGGGAAGAGAACAAAAAGTACTCAAGTGGAGTTCGGGGTTGCACCGAAAACTAAACCAGTTAGAATGTGCGGATGCTTTAAGGTTCGGTCCGTGTAGCCAACAGGAAACATGAAATATGAGTCAGGCCAACTAACTGGGGGTGGGCGCAATTTCTGTGTAATCCAGTGCATGATAAGTCTGTAACATCAGAAAAAGTGCAGAAACAACGAACCTTAGGGTCATGTCAACCTCATACTGTAACGTATATGACAAAGTTGTAAAACTGTTGATAGATAAAGGAGCCCAAAATTGATAAAAGGGAGATAATTCGAAGTATTTGCGTAAATAGCAAAGCCATTAAATTCCATGGAACCAAATAAAAAGGAAGACAAGGCGAATATAGGGGACTGCGATCAATGAACCGCGGCGGTCAACTGAGATTGTTTTAAAATAAAATCCTTGCAGACATGCTCGAAAGACCAACCAGAGGGAAGTTGACGAATAAGCGGAGGAACTTGGTGAGATGCGGTTGAACTGCCTCCTGGTATGATAACAACTGACAGTAGGTAAAGAGGTTAAAAAAGCGAATGATGACAACTCACCAATAGATGATAGCTAAAGAGCAAATTTTTCAGAGCGAGAAAATCGTTGTGGCTAAGGTTTTCTGTCTCCACCATACCCCATGGATACATTCGTCCACGAACCTGGACATGGGATAAAAGTAGCAGCGGATGTTAAATGAACGAAGGAGTTAAGTACATTTTAAATGAGCTTACTCAACAGGATCAGAGTGGCGACGTGCATCACCATAATGATAAAACGGTAGGCGGTGGAGAGAAATGCATGATGCTTACCAAATAAGGGCATAGAATTTCCATTTTAGCTCCGCGTGTAGAAGAGTGAAATCGACCTAGTGGGTTTTAGTCACACGAGTAAGCGAACAGCAAGTCACATACATAGAGGTGGAATAGCACAACAAACGGTTAGAGTGCCATCCTGAGAAAGGCGTCATCAACAAACATACCAGCGACCCCATAAACGCGACAGCACACCACACATTTTCTGAATGACAATGCACACACACATGCGATGTCGCGAAGAGGAGCTGACCGACAGGGTGCACGTTTGCTGACGGTGATGTGTCCGAAGTTAACAGCCTCCAGTGTCAGCTGATAGAGATGGCGCGACAACAGTTTGTAAATGAGCCGCTGGTTGTTTCACAGTGAGTGAATTGGAAAACCGAAAAACATCGACAAACCATGTTGCTGTTTTCTAGTCAAAATGTGTATGTTGACGTCCGTGCCGAGAACAAGCAGGATTTGCTCCTTCCAGAAAAAATCCAGCATAGTGGTCATTTTCGATTAGAAGATTAAAACCCTACCGGTCAACGAGGGTGACTAAATTCCTTTCGCATTGGCAAGCTAAGTAATTGTGCCCTTAGAAATGAACTTGACACAGTTGGTGCTTGCAAATATTTCGCTCATACGATCCCACAGATTTCAAAAAGGTACTCGGTATGAAGCGCAGTAAATTTACGAGTAGGGATACGATTGGGGATATTCCCGAAATCGTAGTAGCCCAATAGAAACCAAACTGTTTAAGTGAAGACAGTGGATGAGACAAATTAGGAAGGACTGCGTTGATTAATTGAGGTTTGCAGGTTCACGATAATGCGACCAGTACGGGGCAGTGCCCGAGATCACGTTGTTGAAAATAAAGGGTGGAGTGTTGGATAGGTTTCAATCAGTTATGGAAGAAATGTGAAACGAAGCGATACATTTGAAGGTAAATGGCACGAAGAGCGAGTGTTGCCAACGGCGCTTTGTGAATGGCAAAAATAACAATGGCTATCTGAGTGACTACCACAAACGCATAGTAATTTTAAGTTGGTACCATCTACACACCACTGGTGACAGTTTTAGCGTTGTGCCAAGTGTTGACCGTCGTGACCCAGTGGCTGAAGGCTTAGAGGTCCCAACTAACGTTCCAATAATCCCGGGCTCGACGCCTGCTATCTCTACCTCATGAGATCAAAGGTCGAAACGAGTGGTGGAGAGAAGAGTTTTCGGGCGAGCAACACCCCATAACTATCTGTTACATCAGTTACGGTCATGGTTACCGCACAGACCAAGGTTCACTTTAATGAAAAGCACGGTCCACACTGAGCTTGCGCGTCGCAATCTAATCATAAAACCAGTACTTCAAAATGACCACTTTTGAAAGCCGTTTGAGTAATTTTTGACCATCCTACAGTTTGACTAAATCACAAGAAAATGCTACTCTTCAGCAAAGTGAATATTCCATTTAATTAACACAAATCAAAACCAGAGTAAACTCTCATCTGACCCAAATGTTGACCCGGCAATGATTATGCGTTGTAAACGTTTGATCGGGTTGCAGATTGTTTGCTATACTGTTCAAACAGACAATTCGAGAATTTATGAATGGGCTGTAGATGCTAAGTTAAACGAACAAAGGAAAGTTGGTAAATCGTAAACCAACAATCCGAAGTAAATGTTCCCCAGAACAATGAGACAGCCAAGAAAGGATGCCGGTTGATCACGAGAGTAGCTTAGACCGTATGCACACATGATTTCGGTTTCAGATGATGAATGTAGCTGACGCTAGCAATAGATAGGGGTTGCTTAAGGAAACCATGTGAGAAGCGTTCACGAAATGAGTAGGTCAAGTTTACATGATTCGCACTCTGTATGATCCTAATCCAGAAGGTGAGAAATAATAGAGGTTTGTAGAGCCTCTGTAGAGCCACAAATGGATGTGATCACGAATCCTTGGAGATAGGCGTCTCATAGTTCAACTTATATATCGTCCACCAGAGGAACGGTTCTCAAACGAGCCGCGCGTCTTCTTAAACAAATTTTTGGACACCACCTCTGTATCGAAACTCCAGAATATAAGCACGCCCAGCGAGAAAATATGGGAACACGAATCTGGCCGATTCCATTGGTGTACGCTTCTGAACATACAAGGTATCCATTACCATGCACGCTATCTTTACCTGGCCTAACTCTCCCATTGGATGGCGTAGAATAAATGCGCAATCGTTCATACGAAGAGAGGCTGAAACGATTGAGGGTATTCAGCGGATAGTATTGCAGATTACGGCATACTTGATCCTGTACGACCCACATTATGCGTGCCGATATTTACTGCAACTCAGCAGCAATACAAACCTGAGTGATCACGCACTGAAACTCGCAGAACAGTATAGCCGTCTGGAGTGCCACAGGAATTTCTTTCGCATTCGTGTATGTCACACGTGGAATGCTTTCCCAGAATCGGTCGTCACTACACTGACACTAACAGTACTTAATAGACGGTTAGATGACGCACTCATCCACTTACACTTTGTTACTTAGTGCTACTCCTAGAGGGTACCTTCGATTTATTTGGTGCTAACTGTGGGTGCTGTGAATCTACGCGGATAGCAGAACTACAGTGGAGCAAAAGATAAGTTCTTCTTTGCATTTTTAAAGTATTGCATTATTATTATTACTATCATTCTCACTATTACTTTGATATCCAAACCAACTATCCAACGGGACTTGTAAAGCAGCGTATCGTAACCCGTAAAAATTTATTGTTAATTGTTTAAATTACAGGAGATTTCCGTCAAATTCCATTGCCTTCAGTAATACACAGCTAAACCCATCATATCTGATTTCTTTACATGTTTCAGTTAACTAGTTGTGAGCGGGCAACACATAACATCCATCCAAACCAGTTGACTGTTATTATTCCACCTACCATTTCCCCGAAATGCCCAAGCAAAGACAGCAAAAAGATGTATCGATTAAATATTTCCCTACCATTCAGGGAAACGCTTGATCACTGGATGCGGCCTCCTTCTGGGTGGCAACAAAATATCCCATAGCACCTACCAAGCGATCCGCAAACAAGGCCAATGAATCCAAACAAAATGCCTAGAGGAGATGATCGGTCGGTCAAATTCACTGATAGCTGGCTGGATGGCGACTTCACATAGAGAACCGTGTGTAAGATTGGAAGGTTATAATCATCACCAGTACACATTAACTGAAGGTGAGAAACACGTTTCAAGGAATGTCCCGCAGAGAAAAAATATGATATACAAAAACGGAAGAAAGGTATCAGCAGTACGCTAGTACGCAGTAGCGACGCTTCGTTGCCGCGCAACTATCACCAGTCGCGCGTGGGCTAAGGATAAGACGACGATCGCCCGGTCCCTATGCAAGCTCGAACTAGCGCCCTCGGATTCCAGAGCAGGCTTGTGATCTTTAGGCTATGGGCCGGCATATAAAAAACGAGATACAAACAGAGAATACAAAAACCAACAGGTTATGTACTGCCTAATAATATATTATGCTGTAAGACTAAGATCGTGGTTGGGGGTAAGGTAAATGGAATGCACAAAGAAACAACACAAACGCCACTGAGGTCGGCTCGTCACCATGTCAACTAGCGTATCCAATCAATCGTGTTCATCGTCCTTGGAACCCAGCTCGGCGATCGGGAGACACCAACCGACGCCAACTTCGAAGTGAGGATTTTAATTCCCCTCGACCGTCATGGGTTGGCTGCCTATCCACTTTTTTTCGATCCATACTCCCGGCGCGTAAGCAACGCACCTCGTGGGAGTCAGTGTCCTGGCATGCGCAACTCGTGGTCAGGCTATCAGAGCCTGGTGGTGAAATAATGGGGCTGAACGATTTACTCGTTCTTCCTGCATCAAATACCCGACATCGAACCCGCTAATTGCTCAAGCGGTGTTCCCACCGGATGTAAACAAAGCTGCGAAGACAGCGTTGGTTGACGTGATGGACCAAGTTGCACAAAGGTACAGGAGAGTGGAAAGTACGGCAGCATTGTGAACTCAGTCCTACAGGGTAGGAGTGATGTCGCGCACGGTGCCACTAATGGCGGAGATCGGTAAAAGTGCCTCGAGCTTCTGCTATACGGTATGTGACCTCATCCACTATTCCGCTAGCGCTAATACAACTTCCTAGATACTTAAATGTCTCAGTGACTGCTAACTGATCACCACCAATGGTCAGTGGAGGAGTGAGTCTTTGTCAATCTTGGAAATAGACTTTGAGAGTGCAAAGGGAAGTGCGAAACGACTGACAACCAATGCGAATGCTTGGCACATGTGGGAGCTGTCACGTATAAGAGCAACGTCGTCATAAGCGTAGTGTCGTCATGTTGTAATATCTCCATGGTTTAAACACAAATCGATGTACAAATACAAAAATAATTGAAGCGCCGGCTTCAAGTGGCCAGACAAATGGAACTACACTTGTGACCGAAAAGCCGTTCAGACCGAAGTCAGCTGAATTGCAGAGTAAGGAAACAGAGCAGAACAGAAGTCCGTCTGAACCTGTGATGAAAGTGAACCGTCTTTTACCACAACACACCCTGCGGTGTAGCAAGGTTTATAATGATGTACAACCAACTGGTTCGCATATCAGAAACGTAGTCTGCTTGTCGGCTTGCCGAACAACCTCCTCGTGGTGCCAGCTGGCGGGTTCGGGATTTTCCCGTTCCAGCAAATGGTTCGGCGGCAGTGTTCCAGGACGTGGTGGGTTTTCGCCTGGCAAGCGTTCTCCCTATAAAAAGCCACATATGTCCGTTTAACAACACCGTGACGTGGCGGACGTGACTCGCCACTAAATAAAGTCACTGCCCCTTGCTTCATCCTGGCGAAGCATTGTATTCCAGCAACCATATGCTGTACTTCTGGGGAGCATTGGGCCCCTGTTTGACAAAGGAACAAACGAAAGGCGTATGAACTGAGCAATCAGTCACCGGCTCCCAATGGGCGCGATTCCCTGAATTCGCTCCGCTGCCTTGCGGGCAGGCTATTTAGCCAAAGGCTCGGGGTGGTGTCCCCTAAGTCAACACCCTACTTCGGCTTGGGCAACCGGGTAGTATCTCGCCCTCTGAGGAAACCATGGATATTGTTGTGTTGTGTTTTATTCTACTGTTTCTGTACCTTCGTTTGAAACCCATGGTTTCTGATGGCATTATGTCTGTTGGCAGACTTTTGCAAATATATATATATATATATACATCCAGTTATTTGTTTACTATAGCGACAAGGGATGAAGGTATATGGGCCCAGTGCACTTCGATGCCTGAGGATAAGCCAACTACTTGAAATGAACACGATATATAGTTGCTTACAAAGCGACGAGCAAAAGAAGGGGCCCAAGGCGAGTGTGCAACACGTAGCTCAAAATGACTGGGCACCGTGCTTCGACAGAGTTACTGCGGAGCTCCAAATGAGGTTAAACGGCGAACCACGAGGAGGCGGGAGGGCACAGTGAGTTGAATGTAAATCCCATTATGCATGAGTGAATAGTACTCTGGACGGCGCATCGACCTAACAGTGACCGATGATCATGACGACAACGTAAAAATTTATTGACCGTGTCGTTAGTGACGAGCAGATAAATGCATAGACCAGGACGAGTTGAGAAACTTACGGTCTAGTAAGCAGATGCACATGTCCATAGGCCGTCAAACATGCAACTGGGTGTTACTGTTAGCAGTAAACATGTGTCCTGTTCACTTTTGAAATAGGGAGTACAATTAAGCACTATCTGCCGAACATCCCGAACGAGAGGGCCTGGACAAATGAAGCCCAGGGCGGACAACGCCAGATGTGCAAGAACATGTAGAACATGCGCATTTCATGTAACGATGCTTCTGCGCGGTAACGGATTGCTCCCGAAATTCGGGACAAGGCAATCGAGTGGGGATATGATGGCACACAACGCATAAAAAATGGACCAACAACTCACCTTTCGGCCATCTGCTTGAACGATGGTTCGATCACTGCAGACAACTGCAAACGGCTGCCGTTTTCGCCACTCTTTCACATCGAGGTGGGTTTTATCGTTGAGGGAACCTTCGGAACTGACAACGGATTCAGGAAAGTCGTACAAACGTATGTCATGTTCGCTCAGTTGGCGGTTGATCTCCTGCTTGAATTCGGCACACTCGTCTGGGGTGAGAGAATCAGCCTTGCCGATGACGAGGATGAGATTGACCTGGAAAAGTGTAGCGGAGTAAGAGGAAGGAAAACAGTAGACAGAGACAACGTATAATACGATAGTGTGAGTCGCAATCGTGTCACTGTAAAACTGAAAGGTTTTGAACCTAAATGAACAGTGGTTTCCAGTAAAAGTTTGTGTCACTTAAGTTATGGACGTATCATCCCTATCTTTCAGTGTGTCTCACCATAACATGAAATCGGAAGTATCAGTGTTTAGATTTTTGAACAGAAACAGCATTGTATGGGCAGTCAGTTTTCAAATAGAACCAACACATTAAACTGTGTAGATCGCGCATACTATACACACAAAATGTGGCGGCCGCGTCCCAGCCTGTCTAGTGATGCTGCAAAATTTTTAGCCTAACAGCCACGACCAACGCGTATGGCAACCGCCCCGGTAGCGATTAGGGGTCTGCTGGAGCCAATAAGCAAGGCGTCGATATCGAGCTGGTGGCCATCTTGTTCACGTTCATAACATTCGCAGCAATGTCAGTCATATCACGCAAAGATAAGCGGTCAGTATGTGTAGACACGTGCTCAGACGTGATCTGACTGCAACGAGGAAGTATAATGTACGTAATCACAACTCCAGAACCGGCAAATGCATAGCGCTGTGCTCTTAACCTAAACAAGGGAATGCTACATTCTGTGGACATTCTAACCGTTGATTGTAAAACTGGTGAATTGCGACCATATAGAAAGAGGAATAGTACAGACCCGATGACGTCCATCACGCGTGACGATGTAGTGGCAGTAATATCGAAAACGCAGACGGAATAGATGGTGATGGCTGGTAACATCCAATGCAGGAGTTGCTTATCACTGCGGGTGTGATAAGCTACACGAGGATTACATGTGCATAGAAATCAGGTGAAATTTGCGCTGCACCATCCGCAGTTACACCCCTACACCACAAATACAGCGTGAGCCCGAGAAAATGAACGATCTGGATACATGATAGATAGAGAGACAGTCCACAATCATTTGCAGCCCGATAAAACAAATGCGAATAATACCCCCGATGATAATGTCATTTATGTGGTTTGAAGTCAGTGGGGGTAACCACACTTGAAGTAAAACATCGTCAGATACATGGATCTGCTGTAAGGTAGGAGAGTAGAACGGTCAGCATAAATAGTCAGCGTACATATTCACAAAAATCAAAATCCATAGTAGAGAGCCACTTCCTGGAACTTAGCAGGGAGGAAAATGAAACCGGGTGAGTATGCAATATTTCAAATACGACGCCTTATGCGATCAAGCAATGGAGTGATTGAGGCTCGATCCAAGTCCACGAAGTAACACGATGCGTCGCTTACCACATGCCGGTCGGACTGGACTCGGCGTGCGAGATAGCCAATCTGTGCACTTCCTCAGCGTCGAACCGGTGACCCATGGACAACATGCAACCCGGACTCCTCCTTCACTATCGTTAACTTGTAAGCCCTGCTGGCGCACGGACCCCCACTTCTCCGTGAGCAAGTGACTTAGTGCTGATAGAGAAGTGTGAAACGGTTTCAGCATCCGTCTTCGATTAGCCCAATGGCACTCAATAACGATAGATGTAGGAGAGAAATAACGCTAACTGTCCAAAGTCAATGAAGTTGGGTTGAACCGGATTAGCCAAACTGTAACGAATCTACTTGTGCCTACGCATATGTCCCCATTTCAGATTGCACTAGTCGGCACGGAATCATGTGCACAGTTACCAAATCCTCATTGTCATACCTCAGTCTGGGACAAAGTTTGGACTCAACAGTAGGAAACGCTTGAACAAGGAACCAAAATACCCTATTGAAATATTACAATTTTGGGAATAAACGAGCAATAGGAAAACAAATTAAAGTGAAATTAGCATGGGCGAGGCGCTGCAAAGTTAATACCAAAGTCAGAGCTTGGCATGCAGTACATTTTAAAGCCACGGTGTAATCCATCTAGAACTCCGCTTCCATATTTGCAAATGGCCGCGTGTCTGTACCCAGTTCCAGTTGTGCAGCCCAAACCGAACTCGACAAATTGGAGTGTTGTAGAAGATGTACGCAGTATAATCGCCATTCTTGAAGACACGAAGCCTGTTTGTTCTGACGTGCTTCGACCGCTGATTCTGAAGTCCCCAAGGGTAATCGTCTGGCATTACATGACTGATCTGTTTAGCAGGCCGTTATTCGAGGGTGTACTGCCGAATAACTAAGATATTCAGCACTAAAGCCGATACTGAAAGGTGGTGACTCAAACAAGGTGGACGATAACCGACCAATTTGTCTGACCTCCGTTGTGACCAAAGCATACGAGAAGATCGTGAAGAAGGGACCGCTGAAGCTATAAATCAAGTTTACGTTACAGATAGCTCAATCTCTATGCTTCGAGTATCAATTGGTGAAATATTGGAACAGTTTGCCTGAGACAATAATCGAGGCGAAGTCAATGTCGAAAGTAGAGAAACCGTAGACGTTGACTTTTCAAATTACGGATTTTGAGAGCGTATCGCACCCGAATAAGACGCCGCCCAGCCGAATTGTGCAGTAATAACTGACGTTATTCTAAATGCGTGCGCTATATCGGTGGAGCAACACAAATGTACATCTTTTAGCTTTCTATTTTCAGTATTCAGTATTCTTAAATAAGCTTTGTTAGCTGTTGTCGGTTAGCATTCCATGCCATTCGCAAACCCGGGAACTACACTTCCATTTCGTACTGCGGTGCAGTAGCAAGGAGAGAACAATCACATCAGGACTACGTAAGAAGCGAGCAAATGCATGCGAACGTAATATTTTCGCTTGAAACACACGTATGAATGGATTGTCGTACACGCAACCCCAATGTGGATCGCGATGTACTCTAAAGTGAACTGAGAAACTCTATCTGAAACACAGATCGATGTTAGGTAGTAATGTCCAGTTGCAACCGGTTTTGTGATTGTTTGCACTTGTCAGATAGAGATAATAGTATGGCCGAGACTTGGTCCCAGGACCTGTGAGGCAGCCAATTGCGGATAATAATTACATCCCAAATTGCTACTTCCAGTTCGAATGTCTTTATCTGAAGGATGCAAACACGGACGAAATCAGTGGGGTGAAGTTAAATGTTAGCTGCAGGAAACACACAGATATTGGAATGTATGCATATCCGGTTCACACAAATACACTGATAGCTACCCACTATCATCCAGTGTGACAAAACACAGATGGCCTGGTGCCAGTGACGTTACGGCAGGCAGGCAGCGCTCTATACAAGAGTAGTGGACTTCGACAGGCTGAATGAATGATGAATAATTGTCACACAACTCCTGGCTGGTGTCACCGCAAAAATGAAATAAACAGCATGGATCAGCTGATTAAAATGCTACGAGGGAAGTGATACAGAAAGCGAATTGAGGCAAAATGACAGAATCGCATGTCGTAGCGTAGCAACAACAAAAGCAGAAAAAGCGTTTAAATCAAGCCGTGTGAGCAGAGCAAGTGAGGAAAGACATGCGCAGCTCACAAACCAAACAGCTTCGCTAAACGGTGTATTCGTCAACTGCGACAGTCATGCAAAATGACGGTCATACAACAGATGAATGTGACTTTGCGGACTGGTGGTGCATGCACAAGGAGCAGCATAGTCAGTATTCGATGAACCAAAACACCAAAGGTGCGACACGGTGTTGGTACCACCGGTGAAGTGGGTGTACAGCAGACTAGGGGGATGACTCATCGTCAAAGGTAAACAATTTTCTGAAATTCTCACGGACAGCGCTAAAAATGTAGTGCATTGCTGAAAACAAGCGATTCGTCCCCGAAACTGCACTGTGTCAGTCGAGATACGGCACACCGTTGCCAAAAAGCCTATCAATCATCTCTATTTCGTAGTGGCATACACATAAGCAACGGTGATGGAACAGCCAGCCGAGTGCACAATGGGATGAACCATTAAGCGACAGGTTAAGAGAAAAGCGCCCAGAATACTGTTAGTTTTGGGGTAAGTGGGGATGGACATGCGCAAGAGAATCGTGATCATAGGCTGTGGTACAGAATCAACCGAAAGTTACTCCATGAGTAAGCACATAGCTTATGGCAGTGGGTATGCTGCATAGATGGACGATGGAAACGTACTTCCCCGATGAATAGATTATTTTGAAGTAAGGGGTACAACCGGAGGCAGTAAGATGTTGACGAGGCGTGTAAATAGGCAAACCACATTCTTGATAGGCATCAAGAGAAAATGAACGAATCCAAAAAGTGGCGATAAATTGCACGCGAAACGCTTGTGACTGAGCTAAAGTCAGTCGTATACAAATGAAGCAGCACTTTCGTTGTGTGAGTACATAAGAATGAATTCACAAATGTACAGAACGGGGACACTGCAATGAGCACTATGGAGGAGGAGCGATAAGCGAAATGAAGCTCCTGAACTAGTACACTTTGGAAGGAATTGAAAAAGAGCCTGGGTCATACAGCATCAGTAGTACGCCGGTACACGGTACCGAGGTTTCGCTAGTACGCAACCACGACCAGTCGCACGTACACTAAGGATCTTGCGAGGGTCGTCCGGTCCCCTATGCTGGCTCGAACCCACGACCTCCGGATTACAAGGCAGGCTTGTGGTCTTTTTGGTCACAGGCCAGCTGGACCACACAGAGACAAAACGAATACTGAAAACATGTGGTGTGCTTTCCGCAAAGCGCGGTGGGCATATGTATTCGTACTGTAAAATGTAGTTAATGTCCCCTAATGAGTTGTGGTTTTGTGAGAGGTGACGACACATTTCCTCCTGACTGGATGCCGGGAACGTAGGAGTGCCAGAGGTCATCGGGGTGTAATGACCATGATTGCAGTAAAAAATGACGCTAGTAACAGCCGTCAAATGGTGGAAATTGTGATTCAATTCCTAATGGATTAAAATAAAACAGGCTGCGCTGGCACAACAAATAACAGTGAGAAGCGAGAGGACGAATGCGAAGTTCGAGAAAAAATCTCACTGCACCTTCCCACATAGGACGTCCAACCGACATTAACACCATTGCTACTCCAGCCAGATCAATAATGCATAGGCACCGGTGACCAAGAACGAGCGCACCTTCATCAATAAGCCGTAATCAGGATGGTAAAATACACACAAGAACATGCAATGCCAGTGATGGGGTCACGCAGAAGGATTGGATTTCTATATATATATATATATATATATATATATATATATATATATATATATATATATATATATATATATATATATATATATATATATATATATATATATATATATATATATATATATATATATATATATATATATATATATATAAGGTGGCTCGTTCGTCTTCGTTGTTTGATTGCAGTCCCCAGAGAAGCCGGTGGTCAATAAGGTTGTTCATCCGGCACCATTACATACTCACCTCCAGTTACGGAAGTGAGTGGTCAGTGACCCTATAGCCGGTCACAGTAGCTTTGACACAGCGCCGTACGAGTTCTTGTGGTACTTCATGGAGAACCAGGTGACCAGCTCAGAACTTCCCATGCTCTGAGATACTGCCGCTGATTGTCCGGGACTGCTTTTCATTCATCTTGCCTGCAAAGCAGAAGAGAAAATTCCGAAGGTACCTCCGGAAGGAAGGTATTCCCCAATCCGCAACCTGGGGACGTGCCCGATAACGTACAGCATTGTCGATAGTTCTGCATGAAAAGCCATCACTGCTGCGTCACAGTCGAGGAGCGGTCGGTGGCGGCACACACGCTCAGTGAGTACAAAGAGCAGAAAATAGGAACGAAACTTGACGAGGATGGTGTGAAGGTGAACGTCAGGTGCCAAATGCAGCAAAAGCGCAATAGAAATCAAGGTTGCCTAATGTGACTGTACGCAAGTCGAACGACGAATGAGGACAAGGACCTCCAAATGACTTAAATCTGGCAAACAAGCGTGGTATTTGGGATGTAAGGCATCTAAGCGGTGAAACGGACAATTCTGTCGAAGCGCACAAAATGGTCTCCGAGCATGGATCCCGACATTGGAGACAGAAATGGGCATCAGAGGTTCTAATTAATCCTATTAGAAAACGACCATGTGTTTGCGTGTGCGGGAAAACAACACAAATCGAATAAAAGGTTACAAGGCATGCAGACATCGCTGATACGCCAAAACTGCTGTGCATTTGCCGATGGATGTGCGTAGGTTGGGATACAGAGCAATGGGACCCAAACCAAAGAAGGAGCCATGGCTAGAGCTCGGGAAGTAAGGTTGCAAGTCAAGTGGCTGGGTCAAAGGAGAGCAACACGAACACGTCTAAGCATATCAGTAGTTGAATTCGTACAAGGGGCGATGTCAGGTAGAGTTAGGCAAAAACACCATCAAGAGTACTGTAAAGTCATATTAGATAATCTTACCTTGTTATGCAAGTGTTTCATTGCCTCAATGTCCAACTGGTGAAGGCCGTGGCCGGTGGGAGCGACAAAATATAAACACGCATGTACACGGGAGTCGTCCGTTAGACTGGGCATACAGTCCGCCCCGGATCCAACCGTATGTCTAGACACTTTCAATTCATTGCGGAGATACGATTCGAAACGAGAATCAATGCAGTCCACCAGTGGTTGCCAACACGAGGAGTTGTCCACATATTGTCCGAAGCCAGGTGTGTCCAAAATGCACAAGCGCAACTTTACATGGCCTTCGGAAAGGAGGAAAAGCCATGAATCAACTTGTACTCCCTGTGGTACAGGTCGCTTGGAGGGACCCTGGAGAAAAAAGTGCATTCGTAACGCGGCATTACACAGCACTTCACTCACCGGATGGTGACAATAAAGTCAGAACAGCCACTATGCATCCAAATGGGTGAATTTTTAGAAGAATGACGAAGTGTTGAAGCGGAATGTTTCATCAAATTGCAAAAGCACTGGTCTTGCGTATTGGTATATTGATCTGCATAAGCCATCATCCTGTAGGATGAGTTGGTTCCGAGATCATCGAGCAGCACTTGTTTAGAGTCTGCGTTCGCTCTGTACTAGAATACCGCTCGATTATTTTTATGAGCGGCAGAAAAAGCGACCGCGTGTACCTAGAAAACGTGGTGTCCATTCACAAAGGTTCTCTTCAACCTCTCGTCCAAAATGAACTATTTCGAGCGTTGTAAGATGCTACAACTGGAGTCACTGCGGTTAAAACGTATCAAGGTAGGAGTAACTATCCTATTCGACTTGATCCATAAACGTGTATTCGCACCATATATCCCTATTCAGTTCAAACAAAAAGGTAGATACGCAATTAGGAACACTAAGTACACACTCCAGTGTCGAAAACGGAAACTAAGCTTCGAAGAAACTTCTACTCGAAGAGATACACTGAGATCTGGAACCGCTTCCCTGTTGAAGTAAGAGCATGCGAGTCGCAACCAGCGTTTTAAAGAGCAGTTTCTGACTGTCTGTAATGACAATGTTGCAACTGAATTGCAATGAAAAAATGTTATTTGAGAAGGGGGCTGAGACACAAGTGTGCTGATTACAAACATGAATAAAATGTGCAACACAGTGTCTGTACCTGGCCACACCCTCCTGAGATGCATTAAAAGAGGAAAAATTGACAAGACCCCGGGCGGGCTGTTTTAACTCACCCAAACAGAAAGGGTGTCGGTGGATGGACTCAGGTCGAAGCGTGAATCAGTAGCAACAGGAAAAAGAATGCCTCACATGTGAACGACCAATGATGCGGATCAATGAGAAACGCTAGATGTTTGTTGTTACACTAGAATGGCGACTTGACCTACTGACCTGTAACACTAGTAGTCACGGATTCATGTTATTCCTTGCAATTTTTATCTTACTTTTCAATGAAAGTTAAGCCAATGGTGTACCGATTCACCTGACTTGAAGAAGCACTTGCGTCAAGAGCGAAAGGTTAAGATGCCAGAATAAAAACACAAAAATTGATATGCATTTAAAAGCTTTTGAAATCTTCACAGAAACCTCTTTACTTTTCTTCACCCGTGCCTCTTTCCTTCTTTACTCGGGAAAGCATACCTCGCAGACACCCATAAATGTGTGCTGCAGAGGAATTGCAAACTGAGGATGATTTAACCATGTTTCCCCACTCTTCGTATTCTGCTTCCTCAACCATACCAAAAGGTGTGAGCTGGGAAGGAAACGCTGACTGAATCTATTCATTTTCATTCACGATTACTATCCGTCCTTTGCTTACTTGGCTACGCTTCCCTTGTAGCCCTCATGTAAACGTGTGGTAGGGAGAAATCAATCGATTCTGCTTACTTCATGCTCATCCGTAACTCCAATATTTGTCTTCATTTTTCCCTTTACTCGCTTACGCCTAGCTTATAGTCAAAGCAAAACGCTTGAACCAGTGTGGTCCAATGCCAACCAGGTCAGCCTCACGCACAACCAATAAATCTCCACTTATATCTGTCCCGACCTAAATGTACATGAGGTGGAAATGATTAAATGCTCCTTGTTAGAGCGCCACATTGTATAGATAGAGGTTAGCAAAAATCAGGTTAATTCTATATTCACAAATTTCTGTTCCAGTGTTTTTTCTTATTATCACACAATTGCTTCTCATCCCTCAAGCAAGGATAGAAAACAGCTTCGCCAGTACATGGAGCTCTCCGTCAGGATGCCACGAATTATTCTGTGCCCATTCGGAGCTTTGGACTGGACATCCATGAATGACAAAAATACTAGTTCCATTTCTGTCTAACAATTGGAGCATGCTGTAGATATATGAAACAATTGTAAAAAATGATCATACTGAAAAAAATATTTCGTAAACCCGAGGATATAAACTATTGTTATCATTTCTGAATGCCATACAGAATTGCATGCCGCTTCCGCAATGGAAGAGACTCCATTCGCAGCCGGAGTGAAGTAGGCTAGGGTGAGGTCAATATGCACATTGCGGGCCTAAAAAGCGCGCCGTTCATGTGAACTCAGGCAACTCAAACGACTGAAGTGCAGCAAGCAGTTATCTGGCTTTAACCTGCTAGACCCCGTTGCACCACTTGGAAGGAGCATCACCAAGCGGCTACGGATGTTCACCACTTCAATGATTTTTTCGTCATCTTCATGAGCTAAACTTACCATCGCAGGACGTGTTTTCTGCGTGCATTCTGACTTCCTAATAATAATAATAATAATAATAATAATAATAATAGGGCCAGACACGTTTTCTGATCGGAACACCACCCCACACTCTTAGTTTTCAGCTTGCTAACTGCATGTGAGAGTGAGGGATCCAAAGCACAAACATTCCATATGATTACTACTACTACTACTACTACTACTACTACTACTACTACTACTACTACTACTACTACTACTACTACTACTACTACTACTACTACTACTACTACTACTACTACTACTACTACTACTACTACTACTACTACTACTACTACTACTACTACTACTACTACTACTACTACTACTACTACTACTACTACTACTACTACTACTACTACTACTACTACTACTACTACTACTACTACTACTACTACTACTACTACTACTACTACTACTACTACTACTACTACTACTACTACTACTACTACTACTACTACTACTACTACTACTACTACTACTACTACTACTACTACTACTACTACTACTACTACTACTACTACTACTACTACTACTACTACTACTACTACTACTACTACTACTACTACTACTACTACTACTACTACTACTACTACTACTACTACTACTACTACTACTACTACTACTACTACTACTACTACTACTACTACTACTACTACTACTACTACTACTACTACTACTACTACTACTACTACTACTACTACTACTACTACTACTACTACTACTACTACTACTACTACTACTACTACTACTACTACTACTACTACTACTACTACTACTACTACTACTACTACTACTACTACTACTACTACTACTACTACTACTACTACTACTACTACTACTACTACTACTACTACTACTACTACTACTACTACTACTACTACTACTACTACTACTACTACTACTACTACTACTACTACTACTACTACTACTACTACTACTACTACTACTACTACTACTACTACTACTACTACTACTACTACTACTACTACTACTACTACTACTACTACTACTACTACTACTACTACTACTACTACTACTACTACTACTACTACTACTACTACTACTACTACTACTACTACTACTACTACTACTACTACTACTACTACTACTACTACTACTACTACTACTACTACTACTACTACTACTACTACTACTACTACTACTACTACTACTACTACTACTACTACTACTACTACTACTACTACTACTACTACTACTACTACTACTACTACTACTACTACTACTACTACTACTACTACTACTACTACTACTACTACTACTACTACTACTACTACTACTACTACTACTACTACTACTACTACTACTACTACTACTACTACTACTACTACTACTACTACTACTACTACTACTACTACTACTACTACTACTACTACTACTACTACTACTACTACTACTACTACTACTACTACTACTACTACTACTACTACTACTACTACTACTACTACTACTACTACTACTACTACTACTTACTACTACTACTACTACTACTACTACTACTACTACTACTACTACTACTACTACTACTACTACTACTACTACTACTACTACTACTACTACTACTACTACTACTACTACTACTACTACTACTACTACAACAACAACAACAACAACAACAACAACAACAACAACAACAACAACAACAACAACAACAACAACAACAACAACAACAACAACAACAACAACTACAACTACAACTACAACTACAACTACTACAACTACAACAACAACTACAACAACAACAACAACAGTGGTGACTAATTCACATGGAGACTAAATGTATGTGGAACAGCCGGCCTTATTTTGATTACTGGTCATATTATGAGCTTTGTGAAAAAAAGCGACGATGGAACCTGAGCCACGAATCGATGGGCTGACTACAAGGAAATAGCAGGTAAATAGAAATGAACTGTGGTACATTTCTCGACACCAAACAGTAGCCTCAGTCACTCTGTGTGGGGAAAGTAAAATGATTCCTGTGGCCGTGTGATTAAATATCGTCGATTAGAAGAGCACGCGAAAAATAGGGCAGGTCACAGATGCACGTCAGGTGGAACGAGAGCAACAGACGAGCGAACGTCGGCTTACAACGGTTTGAGGCAGTGGTACGCTCGCCTTCATCCTTCGCATTCAAAAGTGGTGAATTAGTGGCAACAATGCTCTGAGCACACTCCGCCGTTATCTACGAACCTACCAGGTAGCTTTGAAATAAGTGACGCTGAAATTCGTTTTAAAAGGTTTAATTTTACTCAAGGATTTCGGCCTTTACTTATTGGGTCTGTGGTCTAAATAATTACACAGGACTTGTAATATAGAGGTTACTTGTTCGAATTCGCGTAGGTGCAGGCGACCTGGTTGTACATCCATCGCTCGCGCAACTGATGGCGGTCGCTTGACAGCGAAGCGTCGGCACGGTTCGCTGGCGTACTGTGGATGTCTTTTCACACATTGGGACAGCAGCGTCCAACAATTACACCGGTTCACAAAGTGTTATAGAGCCTCAGCGTCGTAAACTAGGTTTTGCACCGACGCTGATGGCGTCGAGGAGCAGATTAGAAATCGCTCTGCCCAGTCCTTTTCAGTCACGGTGTCAATGTAAGCAGTAGTATAGCAACACGTTGTACAAATGCTTCGCCGTCATACAATCAAGAGCGGCTGTATGCGCGGTGAGAGACCACAAAGGTGACTAAAACTCAGCCGGGGAAGCGATTAGGGAACGGTAGAGCAGAGGTTGCAAATCGAACGAGTGAATCACTACACCACAGAGCCTCATGCCAATGTGAAACCAGTGTCCAACCCAAGTGCGAAGTGGACACTGGAAGGGTTTTTGATTCTGCCATCTACAGTGAAACATGATTCCAGAGATCAACGGACATGGAGAAAATGGGGGTATTAAGCCACAGGATTTCTCGTATCATGTTTGTTAGGAGCATCAAACTGTGAGTATATGCTAGGGGATACATGAAGACAAGCTAACATCTGGGACCAAATCACAGCCGCACCAGTATCTCGTGGTGATGCTTAGATTCTATCCACTCCTAACTACGGATGAGAATAGTCCAAATACTGAACGATGAGACGTCAAATGAATCACGCCAATAGAAAAGGGGCCGGAAAAACGTCACAGCCGTCTACACCTTATGGTATCGAATACATCAGCTAGGAAGCCAGCGTAAGCAGAAGTGCCAACCATGAGAGAGAGAGAGGCACAAGATGTGGCGTTCCGTACCCAGCAAACCTTAGGGTGGGATGTGGGCAGTGGTACGAGGGTGAACCAGCTATCAACATGTGCTTTCGCATTAGACTGATGAATTGATTCTAGGTTGCTCGAACCAGTGGAGCACGCAAGGGACAAATAGACAAAACAACTCTCCATCCGACAAGTCAAGGGAGGCTGCTAGTGTCGTGTGCCTTGGCGATAAGTTAAGCTGCGATATTAAGTACCATCTGATAGTGGGTTATGAGATTCCTTGCTTCCGGTTTAGCGTGAGGTCACACACAAAAGACCTGAAGCCTCCCAAGAGAAGACTAGAAAACAGTAGAAACGAAAAAGACAAGTGAAGTACAAAGATACACATTGCCGTCTGTGTGCGAGACGTTTCGAATAAGTAAAAACCCTATTCTGACAAAACTGGTCCACAAATCTCGCAAACTAAGCCCAGAAACCGCACAATAAATGTAACTAAGGACACTGTCTGCGCAGGTTGTTGAGTTAATGGCATTCCTCAGCACCAGGTTACACTGAATGAGTATATATCGTCTTCCGAAAAGTGCAGCCAACCTGGGTGGGTTGTTAGTAGTAAACGGTGGCGTAACCTATGGGCCGAGCTAAACGGTAAGAAGCCATTTGGTAAAGCTGCGCAAAACCTGTCAGTAGGTAAATATTGAAACTTACCAGAAAAAGGAAAACTGGTTAATCGAAGTGGAGATGTCACTCTATCAGCAACTAACTGGAGTGAATCAGAAAGCCAAATGAGCTGGCTTCTTACGGATTGCTAGGACCTCATCAGAACAAGTTTCAGAGAGAGAATTAGAAAGATCTATTGAATCGAAAGAAAGTACCGGGTACTCGTGATTTAGTATCTACGTGAACAGCACAAGATAATGTAACGTACGAGTCTCTGTCCGGATCAAAAAAGTATGCTATAATTATGAATTGCGGCACCGATTTAAATTTGTGACTCCATAACAGCTGAGGTAGAGCCGTGTTAACAGGTTACAATGACTATGACTATACCACTTGGAAAATCTTATGATGGTGAACTAGCCCCCACTCATCATCATCATCAGCAACAGCAGCAGCATCCCCCTCCTCCTCCTCCTCATCATCATCATCATAATTACACGTTGGCTAGAGGTGGAAAACACCTCAGCTACTGTGTCGCAATACATAAAAGAAAAAAGGAAAAATGCAACAGATGTGTCAGCCGAGCTACCAGTAACGGATGAGTATCGTTCCAAAAAGCTACCAGCCGGCAACTACGCAGCAAAAAAATCTATTATACATAATTATATTATGCTAAGAAGTGAGATCGTGGGGTGGGACAAAGAAACTCAGCACGAACGTCATTGAGGTCGGTTCCTAGCCATGTCAGCAAGTGTATCCAGCCAAACATATGCATTGTCTTTCGGACCCCAACCAGGACGCTGAGACGCTCCAACTGAGACCAGCTCCGAAGTGAGGGCCTTCATCCCTCTCGACTAAGTCATCGCGTGGCCACCACTTTTCTTCCACCAACATCCCCGGCGCGCAAACAACGCACGTCACGAAGCCGGTGGGCTGGTATGTGCAACACGTGGCCGAGCCAACGGAGCCTGGTGCGTGAAATAATGGTACTGAGCGGTTCATTTCCTTTTCCTGTGCCGTAAACAAGGCTTCGAACACGCTCCTTGTTCACGCGGTGTTCCCACCAGACGTAAGCCAAACTGTGAAAGCACTGGTGGTCGAACGTAACTAGCTTCTTTATGTCGGCTGATCTAAGGGGTCAGTTTTTACAACCGTACAGCAAAGTCGAACGTACCGCCGCATTGTACACTCTACCTGTCAGAGCGAGAGTGATGTCGCGCCGGCGCCATAGATGGTGAAGGTTAGCAAAAGCGCCTCGAGCTTTTGCTATACATGTCATGATCTCATCTTCGATTCAAAGGGCGATGACACAACTTCCCAGGTAGTTGAGTCATGATACTCCCATTGGTTTCCAACAAATGGCCCTGTTAACACAGTGTCAAATAGATGCGGATCGGCATCAAGAAAACATACAAAGGTAGAAACAGTTACGAGAACCCTGGAGTTCGGCTACTCGAAATTTAATCAAGGACTCACTACCAAAGATGCGATGAGCAAGATAAATGCAGTGCCCACAAAGTCGAACGGTGTAAGCCAAAGTAAAAGATCACACGCTTTTCGAGGCCGGAGTCCAATCAACAGATTGATGGATAGCTGCCTTATTCTGCGACCTTGGTGAGGCAACAAGTCAAGGAGAAAAGATAGCATGTAAGGCTCAAAGTATCCAGTACTACAATTAACCTATTTTTGCCAGTGTCCTTCTTAAGGGCACTGAATTAACCAAGACGAACTTAAAAATAGTAAGAATTAGTGTCTTTTCTGTAAGTTTATTCCGAAAAATATACGACGGTAATTAAAGGCCTTAGATGAGTTTTAAAATGTGTCCTTAAGAAAAGGCAAGTAGGAAATGGGTTAAGGGTGAAGCGCTAATAAGGTGCGCAACTACCTGACTCGACATTAGTGTCCTCCAATTGACAGTGAGGTCTAGTTCGATAGTACAAGATACAATGGATACTTCCTGACAAACGTATGTCGTTACATGACCCCCGAAAATCACGGACAATGACAATAAAGGAAAAGCAGCAGCAACACACCGCACCGACGCTTCATTGCCATATAATTATCACAAGTGGTGCGCGCGCTACGGAAACCGCGAGGTCGCTTGCACTTGCGCAGATTCGAACTGCTGACTCCTGAGTTACAAAGAAAACACTTTATCAGTCGCATGCTGTGGCGTGATGGCTGGGATAACGCGGAAAGTGAGAGAGATTTTTAAACAAAACCGCGCGATCAATAGTTTGAACTCCAGACCGCTACAACTTGGTGGCGACTGAGAGATGCTTCAGTTCCAGGACGGAAAAACAAAGGGTCATGTCTATATGATCTCTAACCAGGACCGCAAGGCTCAGAACGGTCGAACAACCGGATATGAAGTGGACGTAATCACATAAACTAAGTATCATACGGTCCCTGTGTGACTAGAGTAAGAAGATTTCCGAAAAATGAGATGAAAGGGGCGCTGGTAACAAGCTGCAGTTGGTTGCTCGAAGGAGAACCAAAAGAACGACAACATAGGTGATGCATATTATCGCAGAACTCCCACGAAGAGCTTTTAATTCAATGCTCTAACACACAAGGCAATAAGAGGTAGTTTCAGTTCGGGAGTGAGACTGTTCAGATTTGTGGAGATCTGCATGAGATAGGTCAAGACAAGTGTAGAAAGTTTACAGAATTTCTGTACCTCTTTCGACTATAATAAGCGACGCACTAGCTGATCGGTTTGATAAATGCAATCCAGTCACCATAGTGTGATAAGGTTGTTAAGAGTTGCGTTATTTACGAAAACGAACATTATCAATGTGGTTGCGCAGTGCAGCGCTAGTAGGTCTGCTCTAAATCCGCTGGTCCAACCACGTATGGGTAGGGTCACATAGGACCGAATCAGAAAAGACGTACTGGAAACCCAAACGTATAGTCAAGTTTATTTCCCCACAGCGGCAGAGGATTAAACTCAGGGTAACAGATCAGAGATACCAAGAATCTCTAAAAAAAGTAGAATAGAATGCTCGATCGAGAACTCAAAACTGTGACATCGTGTGCCCAAATTCTCAAAACGTTGATTAATCGGAGGACGATACAAGGAATCATTCTGTATGCGTAAGCATGAACTGGGAACAGTTAAGTGCGTTCAGTGTTGTCAGATGAACGTCGACGTGTCCGAGTATTAAAGCAATGAAATGGAGTAAAGTGCTTTTGGAAGGTGATAGAGGACAACGCACAACAATAAGCATACAATCAAAAAGCAGTGAACATCTACAGGCGGTGAACTTACCAAATGATGCGCGTTGAATACATCAGAACAGAACAGGGAATTAATGAAGCTAGACTTCCCCAAACCCGGGCAGCCAGTAATCATGAGATTGAACGAGAAGCCACGGGAAGTAGCTTTCTGGTGTATTTGGTTTGGTAGAGTTATGAAGCCAACATTGGACGCCGTCCTCAGTGTTGCTTCTAGGAAGGTCAAAAGTGTGGCATTTAGAACTACCTGTAGCTGGAATATCACCGTTTGGTGTGGGCGTCTGAGGACTCGGTTTCACAAACTGACGTCTAATGGAAGGCTTTGAAGGTACTGAAGGAGGAACCGCATCTTCGACCATTTTTGTGGGGAATTCGTAGTTAGTCAAGTCAAAATCGTGTTCAAAAATTCAACGCTGAAAAAGATAAGAAAATCATCACGATTTGTGACGATATCATAAAAAAGGTTTTTATTCTACGGCCCACATGGAGATAAAAAGGATCGCATTCAATTGTGCTAGGCTTTAACCCTACCAGGTCGCTGTACCGATTTTTCGGTACTGTACCTAATACGTGAGAAAATGCGCCTACAAGCTTCATCTTTTTCTAACCAATTGTTTGCATGTAACTAACATGTTCTAGATCATGTTGGTTTTTGTTCTCTAATGTTTAGGAGCCCAGGTATAGGGGAAAGATAAGTTCATGGCCTCAGGTCTGGTAGCGTTAAGAGTAGAATGATGGAACATAAGTTTCCATGAAGACGTAAAGGACGATGGACTGTCATGGCGCATGAATGACGAAAAGAAAGGAACAATAGTCAAGCGAAAACAGCCCGGTGAGCCTAAGGTATCATCGAGATGAAACAGGTAGGCAACATGTTCGCAGGCCATAAAAGTGTACTGATTCCGGACCCTGGCAGCAAACGTTTACTGTAGATGACCTTTCAAATTAGACGAGCGGGAAAACGATGCACATACACGCAGTAAGTTGAGTTCCGCTCGAATTGGAACTAGATTGAGTCCACTTTTCCGATTAATCACACACTTGAGCATAACAATCAACAGGAGCAATACCTCAATACTGATGCTTCGCTGCCATATAACCAAGAGCAATACGGAATAAAAAATAATAAAAGGAAGAAAAGGGGGACTTACCTGAAAACTTTAATGCCCTAAGCAAACATGCAGGATCATGGCGCCTACACCTTGTGTTAACAACATACCGTCACAAACAGCTGGCTATCGTGCAATAATGCTGCATCACCGTCAACAACTTCCTTGCGGCTTTCACTGTCCCGCGTCATAATCAGCCTTTGCCCTGCAAATAACTCAGCACCAAACACCATTTAAACAGGCTGTCCGACTAGGAAACGGCAGCAGACGCGCCACTGGTGTCGGCTGCGAGCCATGTTCTGTAAAGTCCCAGCCAGGCAAAAGGCGGGTCACGTAGACTCCAGGCGGGAAGTCGAGACAGACCGACGGCACCCAGTTTGGTCGTCAGTGACTTTATTTCACGCTGCCAAGTCAACTTTTGTCCAACTCGAGCCTTGCGTCACCCTGTATCTGGCAGACAAAGTAAGGCCCTTCTCGGTAAGCGGTGACAAGGCGTTCGTAGTAAGTGCATAAGCCAACGCAACTTGTCCAGTGGTTCCTGTTGTTCTAAGGAACAAACTTTGCTACCATTGCCTAGTACTCGCCTACGCACATCACCATTGAGAATACACTGGTGTCGGGTGACACCAACGATGCTCCGGAAACAAAGATAACAAAAGACTTGAAGGCGCCTCAAATTATCAGACCAAAGGGGCCAAGTCCCACACCCATAGAGCGGGACGACCCTCACTGTGTCCTTGTAAACACGGCCTTTCAGACGGACAGAAACTCCCCTATGTCGCCAAAGATGACATTGGTTCAAGAATACAGTTCTGGCCATTGCAATGCGTGAACTGACCTCAGTTACTATGCGTCCGCTACCGTTGGCAATCATCGTAAGTTATTCCGTCTGATACGGGAAACAGGTAGCAGGAGACCTGGTATTAGCCAGACCATACGCGAGGAGAGTGCGCAGCCGGTCCACAGCCCGTCAAAACGGTCAGAGCGTTGGGCCGAACACTTTGCAAGGCAATTGAACCAACCTGATATCTTCTTCGGGCATTGAGCGCCCTTCTCGCTGGGCCGTCTCCTTGGATCCGCCCTCACGCGGTAGGACGTGAGATCAGACTGTTGAAATTGCACAAGGCCTCAGGGGCAGATAGAATTCTTACGGCTCTCAACAAATTAGGGGGACCTGCTCTAGTAGACGATTTACACGAGTTGCTAATGAAACTTTGGGAGCAGGAGACTGTCCCGACAGACTGGAGCCGCTCCGTCATTGTCCCAATTTTCAAACGAGGCTCGTGTTCGGAATGCGGCAATCACAGAGGACTCAGTCTAATCTCAATTGTCTCTAAATTGCTTGCGTCTGTCATTCTCCACAGACTGACTGGCACTCCTGAAAACCAGATGCGTGAAGAGCAAGCCGGGTTTCATCAAGGTCGGGGCTGCATCGGACACATCTTCACCTTGCGTCAATTGTTGGAGCACCGCCATGTTTATTGGCGATCCATGGTTGTCGTGTTTCTTGACATAAAATGTGCCTTCGACTCAGTCGATTGATGTGCCCTTTGGGACTCTCTGCTGAGGAAAGGTGTACCTATTAAATAGGTAAACATTATCATAGCGCTGTACGCGCATAGTTCGGGAAGAGTGAGGGTTTATGGCAGATTGTCGCCACCCTTCAGTATCAACAGCAATGTGAGACAAGGTTGCCCGCTGTCACCTTTCTTCTTCAACTTCGCTATTGGTGAAGTCATGGAAACAGCGTTCACTGGACATGACCTAGAAGGTGTGGACCTACTTCCTGGTGAGCGACTTCTTGACTTGGAGTAGGCGGACGATATTACCCTAATCTGTGACAACTCCCAAACATGCAAAGCAGCACTGAACCGATTAGTACTGGCTGTCAATTGCTTTGGGCTATGCTTTGTTCCATCGAAATGCTAAGTAGTTCTCCAAGATTGGCAGGGACTCACCTCTGCGCTAACGCTTTGTGGTGTTTAGCTAGCAGTCGTTCAGGAATTCAAGTACCTGGGCAGCTATATAAGCGCCCGTGGAATCGAAGATGAGGTTATGAACCGTAAAGCAAAAGCTCGAGGTGTTTTTGCTAATCTCTGCCATCTGCGGCGCAGACGCGACGTCACTCTCTCGCTGACGGGCAGACTTTATGATGCAGTCGTCCGTTCAACCCTCCTATACGGTTGTGAAACCTGGCCCATCAGGTCGACAGACATAAAGAGGTTGATCATGTTCGATTATCGCTGCCTTCGCAGCTTAGCTCATGTCTGGTGGAAGCACCGCGTGAGCAATGAGCGTGTTCGGCGTCGCATATTTGGTGCAGGAAGAGCGAGTGAACCGTTCAGCACCATTATATCACTCACCAAACTCCAATGGCTGGACCACGTGTTGCGCATGCCAGGACACCGACTCCCGCGACGTGCATTGCGCGCCGTGGGTGCGGTTGGAAGAAAGTAGGCCAAGCGATGAGTTGGTCGAGCGAAATGAAAACCCTCACTTCGAAATTGGCGTCGGTTGGTGCATCCCGACTGCCTGGCTGAGGTCCTAAGGACGATGTACACGTTTGTTTGGACACACTTGCTGATATGGCTAGGAGCCGGCCCCAATGGCGTTTGTGCTGTGTTCCTTTGTCCATCCCCTCCTGCTTAGCCTCCGCCTTCAATCACGATCTTCGCTAGGTATAATATAACTCCTTTTACGGCACGATAGCCGGCTGTCAGCTCTCCAGAATGATGTCCATCCGTTACTTGAAACTCGGTCGGCGTGCCAGTGTTGTATATTTTCTTCTTGTCTTTAGTACTGGGGCACAACAGCTGAGGTGTTTTCCAGCTGCAGCTAATGCGTATAATGATGATGATGATGACTCTCATGGGGTTGTTGAATTAACCGCGCCCGGCTTGTTCTCTCGCTATTGGTTGCACGCAGCCGGAGACGCTAAAGTAGCACTCATGGGTACGTATAATTTCAAGCTCCAAGGTTGAGCCATCGTCGGTTGATTGGATTCCGATGAACAGCCGTTTGTGTACTGCAACTAAGGTTGGTTCACAAAGTAGTAAAAAACAAAGTTTGTTTGTGAATTTCACTTATGCTCCCACCCACCCGTTCTGATGCTGACAAGGACATATTCTACCACGAAGTGAAACGCGCTACTACGAGGTGCTACTAGTAACATAGTATTTTCAAGGGATATGAATGCACAAGTAGGTCGTCTTAGATTTTCGGAAGTGACAGCGGCGAAGTGACAGCGGCGAGCGTTTGTCGGCCGGTGGCCGAGTGGTCTGCACGTTTGCTTTGCAACCATAGGGTCACCGGTTCGAATCCGCGTAGGGGTGGGCGTCCTCGCGGTATACTCAGCCCGCGCGCGACTAGTGGTGGTCGCGCGGCAGCGAAGCGTCGTTACGGCGTATAAGCTGACACCTTTCTTCTTTTCTTTCACTGTATGAGGAGCACTAGTTGTTTCATAGCGGCACTAATTTTAGACATAGTGGGCGTCGAAGTGCCAGTTGGCGTCTAGCTGTAGCTGGTCAGCGATGGACCCAAATTGATCACATTGCTAAAGTTACAGGTGGCGTGGTTCCATCCTGCCGATCGTTCTGGAATATTTCCGTCGACTCCGAGCAGACTCTGGGTACACTGTAGTTCCTCCATGGACGTCCGTCAGAGCTGTCCGATTTCCCCGTTTTGTTAAATTTCATCGTGGACTCCATCATGTAACGTTCCCGTGCAGAATCTTACGATGCAGACATTGAGTTGCTGCCATGTGAAACGCTAGTTGATCTTGATTATGCGGACGATATCGTCTTGCTTTTTGACGAGGTTAGAGCGGCATAAGCAACGCTGTGTAGCCTTTCTAGAGTACTCCCATTATTTGGTATGTCTCGCACCTTCAAAGTGCAGTGTTGCTGCAGGACCACCAGCCACTTGATGACCCCTTGATCCTTGAGAACGAGGAACCCGAGGTGATTAGTCGATTCACTGAACATTCGACGTTGCCATATAAAATGTCGCTTTCCAGTGTTTATGGTTGTTTTAACGAGCAAAAGCACCTCTCCGCCAACGTGTTGCCCGGGTCGATCCACTGTGAATAGAGAAATTCACCAGCAAGTCGCTAACTTGATAATGGACGACATCCAGGTTTCAGTCAAAGTAACAACGTTGGTGAGCCTGCAACGCCGCGTCACCTCCCACATATTCCGGACGCTACGACAGTTAGTGTACCATATTCCCGAACTCCCCTCTGCAGCTGCCTTTCTTCGACTAGCGATGCTTTATGGTTCCCCTGTGATGCAGAGCCCCAAGCGACAG